AGCTTAACAGCACTGGTACAAGATAAGAGGTGACAGAGGGGAATTCTGTGAACGCAAAACCCAGAGATATCATTATGGCGTTGAAACCTGAACCTGGACATCATTCAAGCTCTCCTTTCTCCTCCAAATCCCACTCCTAAGGCCACTGCTTTGCAGTCAGTCTTCCAGGTTCTCCAGGCCAGCAATCTACAGGCTGCAAGCTATTATTTGGAGCAAAACAGGAGTTAGAAGCAATATCTGTAAAAGCAAGGATATCCTTAGGAGTTAGTGCTCTGGTGGTGTCAACAAAGCCAGGTAACACTCCTGGGGAAGCAATACTGCAAGGAAAAAAAAAAAAGAGATATTTTCTTCTTGGTTATGGATACCACAAATCCAGAGTTTCTGTCCAGGAGCGGGATTAAAGCAGGTCCTCTTGTGCATGGCTTGGCTTGGCAACTCTTTGGAGGTGGACTGCTGTGCGTGCTGGTGGTCTTCCCTTGTGGGTGTGGAAGGGAAGGGGGACAGGGCTGCCAGGGAGGGTCAGGAGGGTGCCAGCCTCTTTCTCGGTGCAAGTCCTTCGAAGTCCATCCTAAGTAATCCCTGCTGAAAACCAGCTGCAGGGCCTTTCCATGTTTCCACAGGCTCTTGGACTTTGCTCTTCTCTTCCTCCTTGTTGCAGAGTGGTCAGACAGTGTGTGGCTTTCTTGGCACGTCTCGTTCAGCCTTCGCAAGTGTGGTCAAGCCTCCCATTTCTTTACCTAGCATTCACTGCTGCGGCTCATAATACCTTGACAGAAAAACCTGTTCTAACTGTTCATGTGTCTGAACTCCATATTCCTGCCATAAAATATTTCAGCTCAGGCCTCATTGCAGAAGGTGGGTTTCTCTTTGTTTTGTTGACTTCTTTTTTTGGTTGTGCTGTTCATTACCTGTTCCATGTTAGCATGCTTTGGCACACTGTGGTGGTTTGAAAAAAAAACTTTTCCCCTGAGGCTGGTGATAGTCTGCCCCAGAGGTGGTGGTTTTGATACTGGATCAATTAAAAATTTTGTGCGCCCTTGCGGAAATTACATACAGAATCGGAAGAGAAGAGGTTAATTTTAACTGCGTAGCTGAAGGAGAGGCAGCCATGAGCTGAAACACCACATGTAGTGTGGGCCCGCGGGGTGTTTGCCCCTGGCTGCTGGCCAGGGGGTCCAGGAGCAGCACAGCGACTGAGTGAAACACACGCCCCCTGAAGCTGGTGACCGAGGGGGACCCCAAAAAATCAGGAAGACCCCCTGGGTTGCATCTTCTTTCCCCCCTCGCAGTGGGGGAGGAGAGGAAAGCAGAGGCAAAAGCAAATATGGCATGGACCAGACTGAGAGATGCAGGGACATCAGATGGAAAGAGAGAGAGAGAGAGAGAGTCGGTTGGAATCAGTTCTAGGGTAAGGACTAAACTAAAAACCCTTAGAACTCTTTGACCCCGGGGAGGAGGGGTGGAAATTCCCAAAGAAGACTCCCAGGCGCTCAATCCGGGGGCTGGAACCTTCACGGAGCAAGAGCAGGGGATAAAGACTTTAAATTTTAACCCCTGGCATGTTGTGCTGCAGACGTGGTGACACGGTGTTACGACCTGCCCCAGGAAAAAGGGGGCAGGGGGGGTAACCCAGGTTTTATCAATAATTCCTTTGGGGTGGATTAAAGCGAAACGACACTAAATAATCAGTGTTTGAAAACATATATTGACAAGATTTATTCTAACAATTCTGTATTAACAGGCATGCTAGCAGTTTGGGTGCTGTCATACAACAATGTGACACAGAGATAACCTTTGGGGAGGGAAAGAAAATGCATAGGGGAGAGAAAGGCAGGATAAGAGCAAGGGAGAGTAAGGGAAAGAAAAGCTGAGAGTGGACAGATGTATATAGTCACCGCCCACGGGGTCCAGCGATGCTTCCATGTTTGTCAGTTGAAGTGGTGGCCTTGATCTGCTGGGGGTGAAGGGGGGAAGCCCCCATACTCTAAGAAGTTATGAGTTATTATATCACGGGTCATGCCTCGAGCCTCCAACATCTCCTGGGTCTGTGCTGAGTTTTTTTTTTTGTGTCTCGCCCGGTTCCCGCCTTTAGGGAGGGAGGGGCCTGATTGCTCATCAGATGTATCAACAGTCAAAAGCCTGCGAGCTCGGCTTCTTGCCTTTTCAGGGCTTCACACCTTCAGCACTGGAGGGAGGGAGGGGCCCGACTGCTCATCAGAGGTATCATGCAAGTCAAAAGCCTGCAAAAGTCTCCTAGAATGCATAAATCATTAACCATTTCAGTCTCTGACACACGGGTGTTCCTCCGAAACCCACGGTAATACCCTCGGACGAGGTGGCCAAGGAGAGAAAAGTGGGGACAGACCCCCCAAGCCCCTTAGAAGAAAGAAGAATTCCAGCTACGACAAATCAAAACTGCTGCCTTAAAGATAAGAGACACTTCTAAGTGCTGCAGAAACTAATTTGGAAGAGCTATGGCCTGAAAGTGAAAAGAAGACTTCTTCTTTCTTTCTGGACTTTTTTTGAAGGAAAGGAGAGACAGTCTATGTATATATATTGTTTCACCATAGAAGAGATAGTTAAAATTGTTATAAATATGTATTTATATGTATTATAGTATTTATTGTGTAATAATAAATTGTAATATAATTCCCTTCCCCCATACTGAGTTGTGAGTGTTTGAAAACTTCTCTACACACATTAGAACAAATTATAGAAAAACTCTTAAAATTAGCTTTTTGACAATTTTTTCCAAACCACCACACACACAGAAAGGGGAAAACCAGCAGCAGACCAGACTGTCCCTCACCTCTTTGCCATCAGATGTTCTCTGCATCAAGCGTCCTGCTCAGCTTGATAACAGAAGGTTTCTGTGGGTTACCATGAATAAATATAAATTCACCAGAATCATATCTCAGAGGCACATTACACCCTGAGGGGTGCTTCGGTTCATTGTCCAAAGGGCCAACACAGCGGCATGATCCCGCTGCTTCTTTCCATGCCGTGAACACCCCATTCCCTACATCACCATATGCCAGTGTTTCTGTGTGCTGACATTTCTAGCCTTCAGCTTTTCCTCTCAGAATTTCTCTGCTTCTGCCTGTGCAGCGAGGTGGAAGTGCCTGCCCTGCCAAGTGAGGACTGCTTTCCTCATCTAATTCAAAGCTCCTTACTGAAGCAGGTTTTGATGTGCAAGGGGCAGCTGACTCGGAGTTAGGAGGACAAGAATGAGGCGTTGAAATTCCTCCAGATGCAGAAGTCACCTCTGACCCAGCCATGGAGGGGAGGAAGAGAAATATCTACTTGCTACTGCCAGGGGAGGCTCCCTGCCAGCCCTGCCAAAGCCCCAGCTGTCCGTGGCTCAGCTGCCAGAGCAGCTTCTCCCACTCAACTCTGGGCTCTTGTCTGCACCAGGCAGTCAAAGCAAAAGTGTGATTTCAATGGGTTTAACTAAGCTATCACTAATTTCCTACAAATGCGAGACTTCAGAGAAATCTATTTGTTTTTATGGGACTGCTTACAGACATATATATAAGTTTACAAAGCGGAATTTCCAGCTCAGGGAGCTGCAAATGAGAACAGGAGTTCACCCAAACACTTAAGAAGCATACAAGGTATTGAAAATAAAATAATCAATAATACATTTAATTTAATATGATTCATTACCATTGCATGCAGAGAACAGTATTAATTTTCATGTAGAAATCCATTAAAACCTTCACTTTTATATATTCCTGAAGTGCATAGTTTCCAGACTGGTATTGCATTCAGACAAAGGTTCTTCCTTTGGAATTAGGGTCTGCCCCTGGATTCATAGGGGACTCACTCAGCTGCTCTACTGCATATTTCAGATGCAAGCCCTGTTCAGGCATGAGGCGGAATAAACTTTAGAGGTTTCTACAAGACACTTAACAGAGAAAGTATTGTAGTTATTGATTAAAATAGAAGACAATATTCTGATTACATGTAGAGTACAGTAGCAAAGTGATTTTATACAGTAATGCAGGGACTTTGGCTTAAATTTGAGGATGAGATATTTATTGCTTGTACAGTTGTGTGATAAATTATTGGCAAGTAGAAGCACAGATGGCTTTCCCTTAAGATCAGGCATCACATGTCACAAATTATCTGGGAAATTGTCATTTTAAAAATAACTCTGGAATAGGTGCCAAGCTGAGAGGGATATCAGTGTCTAATAAACAGATATAAACACAGCAGTGCCCAAAACTAAAAAATATATTTGAATTAAACTACGCAGAGAGAGCATGGGTGCAACTAGTACCTACTCTCTAGCAGCACAAATTAAAGCTTTTCACACTGTATTTCTTTTGTTTCTTTCTCATCAGGAAATTCAAATAATGTTTTCCATGCATATTTAAGCTGCCGTGGAGTTAATGGCATGAATAGTCATCTTAGATTCTTATGTTACAGTTCCTAAAATGAAAACCCTACCAGAAGAAACAGGCACAGTTACAGGCAGGCAATTTTTTTTATATAGTTTTCGAGGTGCTGACATGTTTACCCCCTGAAGTGTCCAAGCTCCAGAGCAGCCATTGCTCTTATTGTCTTCTCCAGTAACCATATGTGCTTCACACCCTGGAAAGGTAGGATCCTGCAGCCCACCAAAACACAAGAGCCCACCAAAACAAAATTACATCCTGCATCTCATGGCCATGGCTGCTTGCTCAAAGTAGAGAATTTGTTAGGCTTCAGCATGTGGCTGGGGCAGGCCTTCACTCTCCGTTGCCCTACAAAGATAAGGGAAGGGAGTAGATGGCCTTTGCTCATCGCTCCCCCTCCTCCTCAAGGGGTGAAGGCTGCCATGTGTGAGTGAGGAGAGCCAGGGCCCCTCTGGCCTCCCCCCCTTCCCCCGGCAGCCGTCACCTGTCCCAGCCTATCCTCCTCTCACGCGCATATATGGACACGGCAGGACGGCATCTTGTGACGCAGTGCTGCTAAAAACAGCCCCAGCTCCCTCCAGCCCTCGCTTGAACAATGTCCTCCAGCCAGAGCAACCCAGAGAGCCTCTGATCCCAGCACAGCCTTGGACTTATTTCAAGGGAAATTAACCTGGAAACCTCTCCACAAGGCCGTGGTCCCGAGCATATGCCCCTGGAAAAGCTAGGGATGAGCACCTCCCTGAGCTATAAGTCCTTCTCCAAAGAGCAACAAACTATGGACAACCTGGAGAAACAGCTGATCTGCCCCATCTGCTTGGAGATGTTCACCAAGCCCGTAGTCATCCTGCCCTGCCAGCACAACCTCTGTCGGAAATGCGCCAGTGACATCTTCCAGGTAGGTTTCTTCCCACAGAGAGCTCTGCTTCCCAGGCAGCACAGGCTGGAATGAATGGGAAAGCAGGTTTTTTTACATGTTTTGGTTGACTGATTTTAATGGTTGGTGAGACGAGAGGGGGGGAGTGATTTAAAGCCAAAGTTGATGTCCCCGGGGACCAGGGATGAGCTAACAGCAGGTGAAAGTGTCACCTGTTCACTGCGGGGACATGGCCAAGTGTGAGCTGAGGGACTGGCCTCTCACCAGTAGTCACCAGATGCTTTTCCAGGGGTGGTGTGTTGGAGCTACCCCCTTATTGGGCATAGTGACAAATGGTTTCCTACCATTTGGTGCTTTTGGAAGAGATTTTCATGATTTTTCATGGCCTTACCCTCCTCTCCTTGTGCTACTTGGCAAGAACAGGCCTCCAACCCCTACCTGCCGACCAGGGGAGGTACAACTGTGGCGTCGGGAGGCCGTTTCCGCTGTCCCTCCTGCAGGCATGAGGTGGTCCTGGACCGACATGGTGTCTATGGGCTGCAGAGGAACCTGCTGGTGGAGAACATCATCGACATCTACAAGCAGGAGTCCACAAGGTAACGAGGGAACATGTGTCCTTCAGAGGGGGTTTGACACAAAAGCAGACATGGCTTAGGGGGCTGCTTTCCATTTGGTCTTTCCATTTGGCATGCATGAGGTTGATCTAGTTGTTTTCTCTCTTGGAAGTGTGGAAAAGGATCATACTGCCATGCCTGCCTGTCTGTTTGCTGTGCAATGAAGTCAGCTCTCACTGAGCACAGAAAACTTACCCAAATAGGTGCTGAGCTTCCCTGAGCTTCCCTTGCAGCAGAACATCGGGCTTATTCACACAAGCAACACTTGCCAGTGCAAGCAAAGTCCTTGAGGTCAGCACAGCTACTCACACGAATAAGGGAAAAGTAGCTCATATTATTTATTGCAAAAACAGTTCAGACAATTCTTATTTGTCTTTAACCTGTGCATTCTCATACGAAAAAAGGGAAAGAATTTCAAATCTCGTTAGAAAATCCTGAGGGACAGACAGTGCAAACAAGGAGAAAACTGAAATTCACACAGAAGGTTGGCTGCATCATAATGTCAAATCAAAACTCAGTAATAAAAAGTCTCCATTCCCGTCAGCTTGGGATGTGAATTCATGAAATCAAGTCTTATTTAGGAGTCCACAAAAGAAAAGGAATAACCAAAAATAATACGTATCAGAGCTGCATGGCTATGCACAAGGATCAAGACCTCAGGGCAGAGGAATGGGTTAATCCTAAAAAGTAAGGTTACTCCTGAGTGGTAATTTCCTGCATTTGATGTGTAATGAATCCAGCAACAGAAAAATATTTTCTCATCTCTCTTTCCCTCAGAGTGGTTGGATGCATGATACCACTGTGGAGAACTTAGTAGGGGAGAAGGTAGGAGGGAGATGATTCTGTCTCTCTACTCTGCTCTTATGAGACCCCACCTGGAGTAGTGCATCCAGGACTGTGATCCTCAGCACAAGAAAGGCATGGACCTGCTGGAGTGAGTCCAGATGAGGGACCCAAAGACGATTAGAGGGCTAGAGCACCTCTCCTCTGAAGATAGGTTGAGAGAGTTGAGGTTGTACAACCTGGAAAAGAGAAGGCTCTGGGAAGACTTTAGAGCAGCCTTCCAGTACCTAAAGGGGGCAGAGGAGGACAGTCACCAGTAGAGAGAATGTTTTGGAGTCTGACGGTGGCTTTGACTATTCTCAGCTGTTTGAATCCCTCCAAGGACTGTTGTAGCTGGGCATGGGTTGAAGCTCCAAAGTGTTAGAGAGCACGAAGCTGGCTTAAAACTGTTCTTTCTGCTGCCCTTTGCGCTCAGTGCCAAGTGAAGGTCATCCACCCCTGTGTGTGTCATTGATACCCAAATATTATTTTAGTCAGGAAAATCTCAGAGGAAATTATTCAGCAAAGCTACGATGACGGACTTGGCTTTTGACCAAATAAGCTGGACATGTGTGGCCTCATGTCTTCCTTGGTTTTGCTTAATTTTTCAGCTCACAGTTGTATTTAACTTAAAAAAAATAAAGAAATACAGCTCCTTTTCCCCATGTAGTTAATGAGCAATTGGAACAAAATTCAATTAAACAGAAATGTAAGAATAGATTTAGTATATTTGTTTAAAATTCCACAGAAATAAAACATGTGATGAATAAAAAGGGAGAATAGAAAAAAAATATAAACACATATTTTCTTATATATTTGTCCAAATGGTTCATTTACTTTATCCGTTAAGGTGCTTATTTAACCTTCATGTATGTCCTTAGAATGAAAGTTACTGTTAGAATTATGTAGCAGCAGCAATGCATAGCAGCATTATCTAAAGTATTTGGCCCTTTACAGGCCTCAGCTGCTTATCTCCCTCTGCCTAACATTCCTAGGGCTCCCCTGAGAGTGTAAGATGGCTTTACCCTGTGCTGTCCCACTGAAACCAAAAAATCCAGGGAAATCAAGTCTTCTCCACTTCCCCCTTTTGTACCTGTCTCTTCCATACTGATGATTGGGGTCTGGCAGAGGTACACAGGAAGAAGGATAAGATGGGATCTTTGCCTCCTTGTTTATTCCCAAACAACCCTTCCTCCTTAATGGGAGCACCCATGATTTTCAGACAAGAACCCCTTCCTCTTGAGTCCTCCTGTGGGTATAATTCACTACAGCTACACGTGCCAGAATAATCCCAGCTCCCAGCTGCATCAGCTTAGGAGACTGAGGGGAATTCATTTAGGTAACAAGCCTTTTCTCCTGCTTAGACAAAAATAGCTTATTTCGAAAGTTTTTTGGTGTTTGGAATTTTTAATTGGTTTGTTTGGAATTGGAATTTATATTTGCATTAGGGAATTTGGTTTTTTCTAAATAAAACTAGGGCAGGCACTGGGCTATGGGGTTGGGAGGGTCTGCCTGAGCCATCACATGCAGATCTACTAAGTATCACATCATATGGTCCTTTATCCCATTGCTCATCAGATTCCAGCTGATGGCAGCATAGCCTGTCGCCCAATTTAGAATGTATTAGCAACACAAGGGAAGAAATCTTCAAGCAGGTGGTGGCTCCTACAAAGCTTTAAAGGATGGCAAAGGACTGAACCCACTGGAAATTTGGTTGGCTAAAAATTAAACCAATCTTTGAAAGTCTGTAGGCCACTGGTCACCTGAACTATCTGAGGAACATCAGGATGCCTGCTGCTACCAGAAAAGAGTAGCAACACGAGACTGTGGCTTTTTGTAAAACCTGGCAGCCTCTAATGAGCTTGGCTGGCTGTTCCACATCAAAAGGTGCTGTGGGCTTTGTTACCAGTTGAATCCTGATCAGGGAGGGTCAAGCATTCTTTCTGCCTTGCACGTACCAGAGAGAACCCAAGGTACAGGCTGTCCCTGCAGCCCCATAGTGTGCAGCAGGGACCAGGCACTGTGCTGAGAGTCAGCCTGTGTGGGCTCTGCGAGGGCAGTGATGGATGGGCTGTGGGGCTGGGCAGACAGAACTGCCAGAAGCAGCTCTCCCTGACCCCTCTGAGGTCTTAGTTTGAGCTCCCAAGGGAGGATGTGGCTCTCCAAGGCAGACTGCAGAGGTGTCTGGAGATCTCAGACCGGCTGGGCCAGAGAAATGAGCTCTCTGACCGCAGGTCACCAAGAAAGGGAGCTGCAGGAGGAGCCCCACAGACTGTGCAGTGAAAGAGATGAAGAGCGAGATGACCTGGATCTTTTCCTACTCCCCATGGACACAAAGCCCCAAACTCAGCTGCACCAATTGTTTTCTTGGGCCAGGCATTCATGATACCACTGTAACAGAGCTATAGGAATCCTTATGTCCACATGAACTTCTATAGTCTTCTCATTTTTCAAGTCCCAGTTCTACCCTGGATATTGGTGCGCTTTTCACTGCTTTTGCGAGAGTCCATTGTTGTGATTGATTTTCAAGGACCACCTCCTCCAAGGTCAAAAATGGTCTATCCCCGTATACAGGAACTCAAGCAATGGTGAGAGGGTATCTGCATTGATTAACTGGGAGCTCCTGATAAAAATAGAGCTTTGAAAAAGAAGCATAAAGAAGGTGGACAGGTGATTCAGGAAGATTTTGAGACACTGTTCAAGCATGTACAGATGAAGTTAAAAAAACCAAAGCCTGTTTGGAACTGAATCTGACAAGGGACATGAAGGCTAAAAAGAGCTTAATGAGGTACATCAGCAGCAGAAGGAAGAATGGGGAAAGTGTGAGTTCACTGCTAAATGGAGGAGGGTCTCATGTAACAAAAGAAATGGGAAATGCCAAGGTACTCAATGCCACCTTCACCTCAAACTTTACTAACAAGTTCAGTCTTCAGGAATCCCAGGACCCTGAGACCAGTGGGAAAATCTAGAGCAAGGAAGATTTACCTTTGGTGGAGGGGGATCAGGTTAGAGAATATTAAAAAAAAATTGGAAATCCTGAGGGGAGGGATCTACAAGTAGTGAGGGAGCTGACTGATGTCATTGCCAGGTCAATCTCAATAATCTTTGAAAGGTTGTGATTATTGGGATAGTTTTCTGGTGTTGGGCAGGACTGGAAGAAAACAAATGTTCCTCCAGTCTTCAAGCAGTGCAAGTACTAGAATCTGGGGAACTACAGACTGGTCATCTTCACACTTGTCCCTAGAAAGTATTTCAAGCAAATCCTCCTGGAAAACCTGTTCAAATATATAAAAGACAAGAAGGTGATTAGAAATAGTCGGTATGGATTTATGAAGAAGAAATCAGCCCAACCAATCTTATAGCCTTTATGGTGAGATGACTAACTCCGTGCATGAGAGGATGTTGTTTATCTAGACTTTAGGCACTGTCTCCTGTGACATCTTTATTGGCAAACTGTTGAAATAAGATCTAGACTGGACAGTGGAAAGTGAACTGGACAGCGGAAAGTGAACTGGACTGAAAACTGCCTATACTACCAGACTCAAAGGGTCATGGTTAGCAGTATGAAGTCAGGTGGAGACCAGTCATTAGTGCTGTATGCCCAAGATTGATACTGAGGCAAATACAGTTTAATAACTAATGACTTTACATAATGTGCCTCATACAGTCATGCAGATTCTCTTCATCCCCTGACCAGCTGCAGACACTAGGTGATGTCTTGGTACAGGAAGGGCTACAGCTATCTTAGGATCCTCAGTAAAAACACTATCAAAGTTGGATTCAGGACTACAGCAGGGACCTTTTTGGATTTGAAAAAATCCTAAGGAAAGCACACCATTTAACTAAACAGCAGTTATGTTCTTAATTAAAGTGTGCTTCTTTATGTGCTCAGCAATTGTGCATTTCCTCACCAAATCACAGAGTCACAGAATGACTGAGATTGGAAGGGACCTCTCTCTGGAGGTCATCTGGTCCAAACAACCCCTGCTCAAGCAGGACCACCCAGCACCAGTTGCCCGGGACCATATCCAGATGGCTTACGAGTATCTCCAAGGATGGAAACTCCACAACCTCCCTGAGAAACCTGTCTCAGTGCTCAGTCACTCTCACAGTGAAAAAGTGTTTCCTGATGTTCAGAAGGAACAGTTCCAGTCTGTGTTTTGGTTTGTGCCCGTTGCCTCTGGTTCTGGCACTGGGCACCATCAGAAAGAGCCTGAGTCCATCCTCCTTACACCCTCTGTTCAGGTATTTAGACACTCAAATGTGTTGGTAAGACCAAGGTCATTGTTAAGATTCCTCTTAACCTTCTCTTATCCAGGCTGAAAGTTTCAGCTCTCTCAACCTTTCCTCACAGGAACGCTGCTGTAGACCCCTAATCACCTTCAGGGCCCTTTGCTGGACTCTCTCCAGTATGTCAATATCTCTCATGTACTGGGGAGTCCAGAACTGGATGCAGCCAGTACTCCAGGTGTGGCCTTACCAGTCATAACTTACCTGAGAATCCTCCTCTCCATAAAACACACACAACACTCTGCACATTAATGTCCAAACCAAGTTTTAATGGAAAAGAATAAGCCTGTAGCAGTCAAACACAGGCTTTGCATCTCAAAGAGCGGAGTCTGAGAATGAGACCATAAAGCTATCAGGACATTTCAGCAACCTGCCATTTCTTTGGTCACAATCACAGCTGTGGTGAAGCTTTTCTCTTACTAAAGCCATGCTGTAATTTTCCTATCAGCTACTCTTTAATCTCCTCTTTCAGAAGCAATCTCCATTTTAAACTTAGAGATTGTGTTTTGGCCTTTGCTACAACGTAGACCTAGAGGATCCCCTCTGAAGTCACTGAAGAATGTTGTGCTAAAAATCTCTCCTTTTGCACAGCCTAAAGGAGACTAAATCTGTTTATTTCTAGTCTTCTGACACTGTCTTCAGGGCCCCACTAGTTCAGGGAGTTCTGCCAGGTTTCTTCCAGCTCTCTGCGGCACCTTTGAAGGTTGTCTGCTTCTGGCTGAACTTGCCTGACACTGTCACCTTTTTGCTCTGTGCAATGTGTCTTTCATGCAACTGGCACCACTCCAGTGTCCAATAAAATTCTAGTAGCTTCTGGCTCTGGTCTTGTAAATATTTGCAGGGAGAGACACTATTTCAGGCTTAATTAATCACTTTGAAATTCATTATATTGCCCTCACACATAGGCACTCCCATTGTGCACTATAATGTGAATATATTAGGGGCTGTTTGCAGTCATCTGCAAACAATGTAAAGCATTTTTTATGGAGGAGACACACCTCTTTTGACTAGCATTGAAATGATGCTGGATTTGACAAAGTGCATTGTGTTAATGGAAATCTGACCCAAATACTATAGGCGTCCTTCAGAAGTGTTCGACTTGTTTTATTCTGGTATATGGCGTTATATTTCAGATTACAGATATTCCTTATGATCCCTTCAAATCCCAGAGCCCTCTTGAATTACAAAAAAAAAAAATAAAAATGTGTGAGACGTTTTCTTTTTGCTTTTTTTTTAAAATGTATCTAACTGATCACATTCCATTCCCTTCAGAAGTGAAAAATCTGTACTTTATCATTAAAAAATAAATACCATATCGACTCTAGCAAGCTGTATGGAAAAACTCTACCGTAATATAATATAAAATAATGCTTTTTCCATGCATTTTTAAGCTTTAATAGAGTGACTGCTTGCCTCCTTGCTACAGAACTCTATAGAATGGCTTTAAAAAATGTTCCGGTGTAATTCCACAGAATTTTGTAGTTTAGGAAAATATTTTCTATCTAAGGATGGAAACATATATTTATATGCTTATTGTTCCATTGTTATATTGTTATATTTATTGTTCCACTTGCTACATCTAAGTCATAGTTCCCCTTCTAAACAGTAGCAGAAGAGGATAATGGTTTATGCTGGAAATATTTAACATTGCCACAGTAGAAGTGTCCGCTTTTGGAAGCTTAGACACACTCTATCAATCTACTGACTCTGTCTTCTGGTGCCACATCATCATACACTCATGTGCTTGACACAGATGTGCTCAGGGTGTTAAGCCTGAAGCATGGCTCAGAAAAGCACTACCCTGCCCACGTGCACCAAACCAGAGGTCTCACTTGCACTGGGAACATCAGCCAAGTGGCTCATTTGAAGGAACCTGCAACTAAATTAGTTCCCAAAATAGCAGGTTGTGTAGACTCGTGTGTATACAGCTAAATCGTTTTGGGGAAGGGAAGATCAGGACGGAACTATAATGTGGTGACAGTTCCTGGCTTAGCATTTGTGTGTAACCCAAGCTCTTTGTGATGGGTACAATTGACTATCCTCCTATTAAATGGTTTGACACTGTATAAGCTAAACATGGGCCACAAAATTAATTTGTGTGACACCTTTTTTTGGTTGCTGGCCTATATTAAAGGCTTAAGGACCTAGTCCTGTCTGGTATTGACAGTCCCGACCAGTGTCTCACAAAGTTCATCAGCAGAGATACAGAGTTGAGGGCCTAAAGGTTCATCAGTATCTACAACTCTTGCTTCAAACAAGTCCCCTTTGTAAGAGCTTTGCTGCATTAAGGCCAAGTGCCCAACATTTTGCATGATGAACCAGAAAGAAATTAGGTACATTTCATATTTCAGACAGTTGTTAGATAACATGCTAATTAAAATACATGAGTAGTCTGAAATGAGGCTTAGTGAGGTTGTTTAAATATTTAAATATGAGCAAGAGTTTTGTCACACTCCGAGTCTCATTCCTCATTCATATGGGAATCCCCATATGAAGTCATGTTGCTATATTGTCGTCACATCCTACTGGGTCAGGACTTAAGCTGTACCACTGTCTATTTAGTCGTACCATAGAGCAGGTTTAAGTCTATACTGTGTATTCAAGTCAACTTTGGATGCTGCTATTCAAATGTACTGTATTTCATGCTAATACCATAAGTGTTGTCATCAGAAACCCATGAGCACAAAGTTTGTTTTAAACTTGTTTTCTTTTGCAGACCTGAAAGGAAATGTGACCAGCCAATGTGTGAAGAGCACGAAGATGAGAGAATTAATATCTATTGTTTGAACTGTGAAATGCCCACCTGCTCCTTGTGCAAAGTCTTTGGTGCCCACAAAGACTGTCAAGTTGCTCCTCTCACAAATGTTTACCAGCAGCAGAAGGTAAATATCTTCGAGTATCTCATAGTCCTCCCAGCAACCATCGACAGGAGATTATTCCCATGGGCTTCCTGCGAGTTTACAAGAGAGTTTGGAGGTGCCTTAGCCACTCCTGTATGTGAGTGAAAGGCTCTTGTAAATCTGCAGGAACTGTTTGGAAACACAGAAAAATAAATTTAGGAGAGATCACACAGAAAGATATTAGATTGTCCCAATTTTTTTATTATAGTGACTAAACATTTTAGAGAGCAATTTGATGTGAAGCTGAGGATCTCTCTTTTGATGTTCCTAACACTTTTTTTCAGTGCTTTTAGATCAGAATGGTATTTCCAACACATGAACTGGAAAGAGAACAGACCATTTCAAATCAAGTAGTTATCTATCAGGCACTTTTACATTTAAGCATTCCATTTTCAAGAAAAGTTAAGTGAAAAACCTCTTCCTGCAAGTGAATGCAGGAATATTCAATAGTTGGCAGCACAGGATGTACCTAACATCCTCTGCCCTTGCTGTCACCAGTAGAAGACTTGTTTATTTTTAATACAGTATTAATTTAAAACCTGACTCACTGGGTTATCCTCCTGAGATAAACAGCTCATTTTTCTGGAGGGCCCCAGTGGGGCAAGCAATCAGACAGGCCAAGTTTGCAATCCCAGCCTCCAACTTTGTCACACAGATGCGTGTGTGTAGAAACTACAAATGAGAAGTCACTTCAGGAAAGTAGTTACAAACATCCTTTTCAATCAAAATAGGTGAGAGAAGGAGGAGAAGTTTCTTGGACTGAATCCATGCCCCCAGTCACTCCTTTTGCATGGAGATTTGCAAGCTGTAGTTTCGATACCAGAGTGCCTGTGAGAAGAGGCTGTCATGCCCAAGACGGGAGGGGTAACCTGGAGGCTGCAGGATGTGTGCTTCAAAGGATCCTTTACAAAGCTGTGGAGGCCACGTACACAGTTGTCTCTGTTACTACAGTGGTGTGCCAAGGGCCCTTTGTCCTCTCCAGCACTTTCCCCAAGTTCCCTAGGGACTAGTATCTCTGTCTCTCCTAAGGATACCTCACAGTCTTCTTCATACCCACACTCATGCCATTTCCTTCCTCCACTCATTTCCCTTGCACCAGTGGCTCAGCCTCCACCTTCTTCTCCTCCTTTTCTCCTTCCCCTCTCACCACAGCCCTAACTCCACTGCTCACATGCCAACGACTCAGTAACAGCCTGGTCCCTCCAGGTCCATGGACTAGGTCTTCTCCTCTCCAAGGCCAAGTGCTACAATCCTCGTGGAAATACCACTGTGGTGTGACTAGACCCAGACACTGAAAAAAACAACCCCTTAAGAGACAAAGTCTTTTCTCTCTACAAACCCAATGAAATATTTTGGGTCTGTTAAAACAAGGCTTCAGACAAAAGTATCTAGAAGATTTTCTTAAAACAAAGTGCTTCCTCTTCTCCAATTTCTTCTGAAATAAAAGTTCCAAACCCCACAGTTTCTTCTCAATTAAAAGTTTAAAAATGTTAATTTTTTCATAGTGTGTTGGAAGAGGAAAAAAATGTCAAAGTACTAGCAGGTATCTTGTGAGCACATAAAGCTCCAATTTTCCTCAGTTTTGGCAGAAAGACAAGCTAATACCCTGGTATGGCTTATTTGTCTCCTGCTCCCCAATGTTACATGTACCACCATTAAGTGGGACAGTATCTAACACCCTCCTGCTTGCTCTCCCCTTACTGCCTAGTCTGAGCTGAGTGATGGCATTGCAGTCCTGGTGGGGAGCAATGACAGAGTGCAAGGAATAGTCACACAGCTGGAGGAGACCTGCAAGACAGTTGAGGTAGGTACCACCTCTTTAAATGCAACTATTTCAGTGTGAAGTCCCACCTTTTAAACTTCTGGTAATGACCATGCTCTAACAGACCTCACTTTACCCAAATACATTCCCACATTGTGTCACTAAACCACTACTTGTGGCTTTGTACATTATCAAGATGCACTACCTCAACCAAAGGATACATCCTGCTCAGCACCTCTGACATTGGCCATGTGGTGGATGATAAAGAGTAAGGCTGGATCATATCAGCACGTCTCGCTCAACATTCTTAGTGGAATAGGATATCACTGAAGTTAAAAGCAGATCCAGTAAAATGCCATCAACTCCCAGCCCATTTAACAGTTCTAGAGCCGTAAACGACCAGTATTAGTCTGAAGCCTGACTGGTCCTGTGAACAGAGCCTTATTCTATGCCAGAGAGTAGGCACAGCATGGCTCACAGGTATGTCTGAGCTCTGTATTGCTTTGCCTTCTGCACAGAAGTAGTTTTTTAATATACTTACATTGTCCTTTAAGGAGTCTTGTTTTATTGCTCACGGGACAGAACAGTTTCTATTCTTACTGGATTTTCTGATAGAGTCCTCGTTCTGAAAGAGCTAGAATTTGTTTTGTGTCATTCAAGAGCAGAAGCGGCTTTCATTTCCTCCAAGAGCTTTGCATCAGCAAAGCAAACATAAATATCAACTTTGACCAGTTTGAGCATCATAGAGCAATAGGCTGAAAGGAGCTCGTATGAATTGATTTTGTGGTCAGTTTGATGAAGCATCTAGTGAAGGAGCCACATCCCTCTCAGCCCAATTAGAATTATATTGACCCTTCAGAGCTGGAGCAGAAAAGGGAAATGGTAGAGAAAAAGAAGTTAATCCAAAATGTATAGATTCTAATTGGTAAGAAAAATTGATTACACAACCTATGTACACAATCACCCAAGGCTCCTGTTCCCTCAGAGTAAGGAAGAACAAAAATTGTCCAAGTTTGGTTTAAAGAACATAAAACCATTAGCCCAAGTAAATGATAGAGCATGTTAGTGGCAGTCAAAACTTTGTAGTCAGGAAGGATTCACACTGCAAGGATGAAACTGGCTGGTATCAGGACTTTGCAGACAGAAACAAGCCTTTCAAGTAGGTTAACTGCAGAAATTTGAACGATACAAAAGCAAAAGCTTACACTCATTTAAGCTGAACTAGCTGAACCAGAAACAAAGCTTCAAACATCTAGTATGAAGTATAGAGAAAATATTGTGCTAAAAATACCTTAAGAAACACAACAGTGTCTGGAACTAGCTTCCTCAGAGTCATCCACTAGTTTAAAGTCTAACCTTTAAAGTGAAACCCTAAAGAAAGTGCAGCCATTTTACCTCCAGATGTTTTAGCAGGTTTTTCACCTTCAAAGCCAAAGATTGCACAAAATAGGTCTCAGAGTTTACCTTGGCACTTCCATGTTATATTTCAAGCAAATCACATTTCCTGCCATACAAGAGCTTTGTCTGAATTGACATCAGTTCGTCCTTGAAGATAAAAAGCTACAGCTGGAACTGAGAAATGTTCACACACGGAAATAATGCTTACAATCCAGGATTGTCTCTTCTCTCTGCTTAACACTTGGCAGAGAGCAATAAATATCTTCTTTAGCAGAATATACATGATCATTTTCTTTTTAGATGGAGTAAGTAATAGCCTATAGTTCTATATTTAGCTATTGCTCTTATCCAAACCTAAAAAAACAGAAAAACAAGCAAACCAAAAAGTTGATCAATACTTGTATAGCTTTTAACTGATTGAAAGGTTGACCAAATCCATATATTATGCTGAAAATTGAGAAAGGAATATAAAATTCTAAAAGCTGGAAAACTGTAATAAATAATTAAGTACTGTTTAGCCCTGTAAATGATATGAGTAAAATAAAGAAGGAAAAATTACAGTGTTTCTTTCAAATGCTAATAGCATAGGCCAGTCAGCAGAGATCCTTTGGAACAAGAAGTGAGACTCATGCTCAGTAGCAAGGACTCCTTTCTTTTTGCTGTAGCTGTGCTTTAAAAAACCATAAAGGCTGGGAACTTTTTAGAATGAAAAGTCATGTATTTGTTAACCTTCTTCATTACACAGAATCTGATTAGGGTAATTCCGTCATGCAGAGACTTTGTATGGGAACATTTTATGCAGAAAGATAATATTTCAGAAATATTTCAGCATTTGTAGTTAAGAATCTGCTTTGCACTCTCACTCTGGAGATTCACAACTCTGTAATATCTGCTGGCAGTAAATATTATGTATTAGAGCTTAGAGAAAGGGAAGGATCTGTCAGAGCACCCTGCTATCGCTTGCTCTTCTTCCTCTAACACTTGTCCTGTGTCAAATGACAAAGAGCATACACCTGTCTTGAAATCAAGGTTGTTTTACGAGTGATCTGAATGAGATTTCACAAGGAGAAAGCTAGGAGAGAGTGAAAGAAGAGAAGAAAATTATTTGAGGTCAAAACAATAGAATGACACCTAGGAACCATGACTCACTTGGGTTGAAAACTTCCTTAACCCCACCCTATAATTGCATTAATCAGGAATTTCTGGAAAGTGGCAAGAACCTCCAGAAGGGCAGGAAAAGCCTCCACCCCCTGCAAGGAATTTTAAATTGGGAGTGCCTGTTTAGCCTAGCCTTTCTCATTGGGAAGCAGAGGTGGATACTTGGTTCAATGCAACAGGATGTTTATTCACTCCCCATGCCCCTAAACCTAGACAGTGATTTTTGGCCAAATGTACATCCTCCAAAGTCTTTCTTCTTTGAACAATACAGAGTAGATTGTCACCACTCGTAGGAATGAGCTCTGACTGAAAGGCATGAACAAAGTGAGATTCTATCTGGCTAAGGGCTATGAATAATCAGTCTTATCACTTCCAAAAGTACTGTGAGACTGTTAATAATCCTGTGCTGCCAGGATCTCAGCATCATGGCCCAAGGGACAAAGATGAGGAATTGATTCAGCCTCAGTTCCTAGAAAAGAGATTTAAATAATCACCACCATTCACAACCAGGTATAACCACAATAAGGCTATGCCCTGGGGCACAGAGGTTTCTCAAGTACTTTGGTTTGGTAGACTTCAGACATTATACATAACCTGTCTCCCATTTCCTCCCTATAAATCCTCCCTTACAAGTGCAATTTGTGCTCTTTAGAGAGTGCTCAATGCAGCAGTCATCAAACCCATCCTCCTTACTCGTGAAATATGCTGTTGTCTGGTTGGAAGGACAATAAAAATGTCTCAAAAAACGATGTGAAAATTGGTACCTGAACTTAGGGCTGGAACCTGATTCCTCTTTCTTTTCTTTGTGTTTCTGTCACACACCATTTTCTTCACAGAACTTCTACTTCTTTCAGTGCACATTAATGGAATATAACGGACTCCTATTGTCCAAATAGAGTCTTAGAGAGCATATGTGAGAATCAAGCCCAGCCACGATTGTTCGAGGCACTCAGAAGAAAAATAAAATTCTCCAGAGCTGATTTGAGATGACCACTCCTTTTAAAACCATTCTGTTCACGCAAAGGAACCCACTTCTAATACAGTGGGGGCTTTTACTTTTTCTGCAGACTTTGATGTATCACTGCAGACATCACAAATACCTTTTACACTTTTTAGCAGACTCACAAGTTATACAATAACCTGTTTGGGGGCTTTCAGTGGCTTGAAATTCAGAGTCTGAGAACAGTTTTTGAACTTTTGTTCCAATAGCTTGGACTTTGAAAATTATAAAAGTCTCTGGGGTCATTCAGAATCCTTTGCACTGTTCAGAAAGAGGAATTTCTTTGATGAAAATGCTTCCAAGTAACTATAAAAATAGAAACTCTTTTAAGAACATAACATGTTTAACATAAACCAAATGATTCACAGGAATGCTGCAGACGACAAAAAGAACAGTTATGTGAAAAATTTGATTATCTCTACTCTGTATTGGAAGAAAGGAAAAATGAGATGACACAAATAATCACTAGAACCCAAGAGGAGAAACTGGAACACGTCCGCTCCCTGATGAAGAAGTATGCAGATCATTTGGAAGCTGTGTCAAAACTGGTTGAATCAGGAATCCAGTTCATGGAAGAACCAGAAATGGCCGTGTTTTTGCAGGTATAAAGTCTATAAATAGAGATACAACAAGAATGATAGGTTTATTGATACACTATTTAAGCATTTCTCAATTTTAGGCCCATTCAGAGTTTGGTTATCTTTAAGTGAACATTTATACAAACTCATTTTGTAAACATTTGAATCAGCTCAGACAAACGTCTAGTCTTGTGAAAAGTATCCAAATCTAGAACATGAGTATTTGCTATTTGCACCAAAATATACGGTGCCACGAATGAATTTCTGGTCCCAAAGAAGAAACAGGAATTTAAACATTTTCCAACAAATCTTTATTTTCCCATCAATATCATGGTGGGACAATACGTTCATTTGCACATGAATTTCTGTGAATTATAGGTTTCATTTGCATATTGACAAAGTGATTAATGTTTCAAGAACTAAATATTTATGGTTTAAGTTACATTTTTATACCTTCGTTTAACTTTTTTCTTCTGTTTTCTTACTATAAACTTAGGAGAGGTGAGTAGGAAACCGCCAGCAACCTGTCCACTAAAATCACTGGTGTAGAATTTCTGTCTTGCAAGTTTACAATTCCTCTATATTAGAAGCTGGAAGGGTGTCTTCTACAAAACAAAACAAACAAAAACTCCAAACAAACATAAAAAAACCAAACCTCAAAAACAAACCAACCCAAGCTCCGCTTCTTTTTGTCAAAGAATTGCCTTTGAAGAGTACAATAACCCTTCAAGACAAATAGAATTTTGTCTCTCCAGATGTATGTCCTCATGGTTAGTCAAAGATATAGTTACTGTGACTAAAGACGGTAACGGAACAATTGCTTTTCACCTCAAGCGCAACAAAAAAAAGAGGAAAAGTATTTCCATTTTGTTTCTTTTTAACAATTGTACGTATTTCCCATGATATTCAGATTTTAATTAAAAAGTCTTCAACTAACTAAAAGGTTTACTCAGCTGTATACTAACTACCATCCAAATTTGATCTCATTCATAGACGTCATGGCTGTCATTAATGAGATCTGTATTAGTGCATTTAGAAGCAGTCAGTGTAAGAATTAGATCTCAATGCATAAAGTCTTAAATGGAACCATTTAAAAAGTCAGTTATTTCCTTTTTGTTTTCACAGAATGCCAAAACATTGCTACAAAAGTAAGTATTTAAACTTTAGACTCTTATTCTTTATAATCAATTACAAATTATAAATTTATCTGCAAATCCAAATGACAATAACCAATTTCTCTGTTTTAGAATTACTGAAGCTTCTAAAGGATTTCAAATGGAAAAAATAGAGGATGGGTATGAAATTATGAACCAATTCACAGTGAACCTCAGTAGAGAAGAAAAGATAATACGAGAAATTGATTTTGACAGAGGTATGTAATTTATTTCACCAAAATTGTTTTCTTAAATTGCAGCTGTGTGTGATTACACAATGATACAGAGTAGAAAACCTTGAACTGGATATTTCTCTCCATCCTGAAATGTAACCAGAGCATTTTGTATCAATTGTAATCAGGAGCAAAAATCCATCACGGTTAAAAAAAACCCAAAACATAACCTGTTGGCACCATTAATGTTATCTTGGCACAAAGGCAATGGTATGCCCAAGTTTGACAGTCTGGCTTTAGGGATGTTGGTATCTCAAACCTCCAGTCACGTGTTGCAGACCACTGGCCTGGTAAATGTTTATGATGACAGGTTCAATGGTGTTTAAAACAAACATATACCTAGAATTGGAAGAGGGGCATTTTCCTGGCAGATTGTGCCACATCCTGGGTATCCTCTCCCCAGAAAGTGCAGGGCCATGCTGCACATCCCTCATGAGGATAACTGCATTGACAGGAGTTTCTGTACTCCTTCACATGGAAAGGGTCAGCTTTTAGGTTTTAACCAACAGGTGTGTTCAGTTTCTTCCCTTCCACAAAGCACCTGCTGGCAACCTTATGGCAGTGCCCAGTCCAGGCTGGTGGAAGCAGGCTCCTCACCAATACCTTCTCTGCCAGGCAGCAGATTATCAGTGGCTTTGCAATGCAATTGCAAGTGGCTTTTTAATTACACAGAAACTGTAGCCATCTTCACATGGTGCTCAGCCCTGTCTTTTTACACATGTCCTATCAGAGGAGGAGAGAGAAGAAGAGGAGGGCACAGAGGATGGTGAAGGTTTGGATGAAGTCCACACAGAGTCATCTGGAGAGGAGGGAGAGGAGGAAGAGGTGGAGGAGGAAGAGGCTGAGAGAGCATCACAGACACCTCAGCAAGACCCTAAACTGCAGAGTGCAGCAGGAGAGCCCCTGGCTGAACCCACTCCAGTGTCACTACCTGCTACCCCAGCTGGTCAGGTGAGTGTCTTTGCTTCCCTGCCAGCTATGCTGAGTGTGCATGGTAGAGACAGAAAATGCTCCCCTGTGGCCTGTAGGCACCATAGGTCAGGAGCAGGGCTAAGGGAATCAATGCTCTGGAGAGCAAAATTGTTTATTGCCCTTGTACACATATATGCAGCTTTACCCTGTCCTCTCGACCTGCGTATATATATATCACTTGATAGGCAAAAAATTAGCTGCTAGATAAATGAAGATATATATGGGATACATAAGTTATAAATAAAAATGATTCCATTTGGGAGTTAAGTGCGTTACAATGGACATTCTGCTGTGGTTTAACTCAGACTAACTGTTGTAAATGGGACAGTTGTTAAAATATTTATACTAAGAGAATTTGGCATTCCCCCTGGATTTAGTGAGCTTTCCACCATCAATTTTCAGATGGTGGAAATCTAAATCTCTAATCTGTTTTCTGTGAATGGTGTTTGCTGCCTTCTACTCTGGACATCTTAGGTATATGTCTAGGTGGATGCAGGAACATCATACACCAAAGAGGAGAGGTAACTGCCTCTTACAATCTAGCAGCAAACAGGCTCAGGGTGTGAATATTTTAGGCCAGCACTTTTTCTTAGGGAATGTGATTAAAATAAGAACATAATTACCACATATTCTAGAATATCTACATTATAAATATACTTAATGTGCTACTTTAGCTTGCCTTGCATACAATTAATTGCAAATTCTCCTCTTATGCAATTCACCCAGTGAAGTTGCTGAGTGATAAAGGCTGCTCTGAAGATGTTTGAGGAGGCCAACATGAAATCAAGAAAACACATAAAGGATCTTTGATTGTAGCAAGCCTCCCACATAAAATATGGGAAAACAAATACTATAGATTCATTCTTGCTTTGATCTAAAAACATGTGTGTGTTTTCACCATTTGTGTGAAGATGCTCTTAAATGAGGTTTTATTGATTTAATCAAAATTTGTCTTTTCAGGATTTGCACTGACTTAACTAAACCTATGTTCCTAAACTGATGTAGGGTGTTATGCAAACAAGAACCAGACATAAGAAATTCTGCCCAGTAACATGAATTCTCTCACTTCTAAATGCTAAAGGCTAAAATGAGAAAGTTACAGCATGCTGCTCTAGCAATTGTAAAGTGCCATTAGGAGATAGTCAGGTGTGGAATCAGACATGGCATGTAGGTGTTATGGTGTGAGCGATACCAGTATTTCAGCTTTTGCCTTCTGATGTAAGAAAAGCAAAGCAGAAATGCTGTGGGGACAGCAGGTAGCACGTGTGGGAACCCCAAGAACTTGATGCATGTAGAGAGGTTCAGTTCAGATGGCTGTTCCTCTTCCTGGCAGAGCAACTGTGCTTGGATTATAGCATTGATGGCAAGGCTGGTGGGCAAACGTTTCTCTCCAGTGTCTTTGTATTCACCTTATTCTGACTGCTCCTATCATACTCATTGGTAAAGGTGTTGTTCTTAACTCAAAACCCAACAAGCCATTGGAAAGTACCTACACCAGCCATGAATGGCTGGTATGGGTTTATGAGGTTCTTATGCAGAATTTCCTGTGTTTTTAGAATTGAATTGGGCATTTATCTTAATTAAGGAACTTCTTTTTCACTCTGTTCTCAGTCAGCACCCCCCTCCCAGCTAGTTCTATCCTTCTGTTCTATTTTTCTAATTTATTTTCTTTCCCTTATCTGTGTTATTCAAGTGATAGTTGCTTTTGCTTTGCATTTTGATTGCAATGCTTTCAGACCATATATTAGGACAAATCTATGCCTTGCAGTGATACATAACAAACACAACACACAGAACAATTTGACTGCAGCTGGAAAGGTAACGTGGTGCACTCTGCTTGTTCTTCTCTTTATCTGTCCTGATTAAGGATGTGGTTGTGACACCAGGTGGTTCTCAGCAGACCCCAGAATCTGATACTCAAATGCCAGCCACAGCAGAAACCACGGATCCCTTGTTTTACCCTAGCTGGTATAAGTCTCAGTCACGGCAACCAAGCAGTCCAAGCTCAACCCCGGTGAGTGGGCTGGGGAAAGTAGGGAGTCCTGTTTCTCTGGAAACAAGTGCAAAGAAGTCAGAAGCCCCAACAACAGCAACAAAAGAGGAGAGTGCACCAGGGAGTAGTAAGGAAAGTAATGCCACTGCAGCAACATCCAAGGTCAGTGCTTCCAATGTCACCCCGGAGGGCTGTGACACGCAGCAAGGCGGGAACAGGAATTGTTAAGGAAAATGTGACTTCATTTTCCTCTGCATGCTAAAGAATGAGAATCATTTAAAAAACACGTGAACAGTGTAAACTGTCATTCCAGCAAGTCTGCTGGATTTGTAGATGGTTTCAATATGCGACAGGCTGACTCTTGAGCTTCAGAGCAGCATGCTGATGGTTGCTTGTGCTTAACTGCCAGTGCACCTCACTTGTGAGAGCTGTTATCCAAGCTGCTCACACACAGTGACTCAGGAGCTGTTGGAGAGGCTGACAAAGCCTCTGTGTATCAGAGATTTGCATGTGTTGGTAGGCAAGAAATCTTGTGCATGAGATTACTCTTGTCACCTGTTGAAACCCTGTGCACATGCCATCCTACAGTGGCTGGTTGAGCAGCTATGGCCTGGCTTTGCCTTCCGCAGCTCTGTGGCTGCACCTGAAGTGCACGGCTTCCCCATGTGAACACGAAGCTATGCAGACACTCAGAACCTCCTTGTGTGTTTGAATGCCTCTCAATAAGCAGTGTGATTTCCTGGGTTCAGACGTGTGTCTCCAAGGATTTTTGAGACCTGAATAAGGGAGATCATGAAGATAATACATCCAAGTTCAATGTTAGACTGCCAGAAGCAAGATGGGATAACAGAGACTGATGTGTGGAGTACAGCAGGAGGTTTTCCTTAAAATTACGATGTTAGAGTTGGTATGACCTGAATTTGAATATTCCTCCTTCTGCACCTGTATACAAATTCCACATGGGCCAAAGATACAGGCAACAGAGCTGAGGGAGCTGTGCAAGAATTTGCAGATTTGCACAGTACACCAGCTCCTGCTCCAGTGCCTGGTTACCAGCCCATGAGCAGCACTCTCTAAATCAAACCATCCCCATTTACAGGCTCATGTTGCATGTTTTAACAAAGCAGCTACCTATACGTGTGCAACAAGAGATTATGTATGTGTGAGAGAAAGCACAAGTGAGTAGTATTTCATGCTGTTTCCTTTAAAGTTGGAGTTGACTATATAGCATACATAAGCAGGCCTCCCATATTAAACAATCATGTGCAAGGCAAAAAGTTAGGAGGAGTTCACAGAGATGTGATAAAAGAGGCTGGATACCTCTAATTTGCTTGCTGTCACTGGACATCTTCTAGCTAGAGGTTTCAGTCAGTGACACTTTAATTTAGAGGCTGAAGGATTCTCACTGACTTCGCTCACTTTCTTAACAAAAGCACCATTTGGCCACCAAATTTCAGCAGCTATTTTTCAATTCAGGGTTTGATTTGAGAATATTTGAGTGGAATTTGTACAAAAAAGAAACCACTTTAAAATTCTCAAATCTGCTATGATCTTATCTTCTTAAGTATATTCCAAATGAACTAGCAAAAGCGGGTAAATCTACAGTGAAATTTATTGCTGCTGTTCCTTCCTATCAGTTCCACTGATGACCAGGCATCCAATCCTCACCATGGGCAGGTGAAATCTGTACTAGATTAATTTCCTGGAAGTTTGCTTGACTGTGATCTGCTTCCCTCGGTCCTAACTTACAGCAAGCAAAGGAACAACACTTGCATTTGGTGTGGGCAGCTGTCTGGAAAAGAGCAGTAGTCTGATGCCTGGTTCTCTTCATTGTTGTGTACCAAGAGTGAAAACAGGCACATGGGAAAGATATCAGTTCTCATTGGCATGTGAGTTTGGGGGTGCTCCGTTTTGATATCTTCCCAGACCATACGTGACCCTGACATTTTGGGAGGAGGAGGATGTCAAGAAGAGTAGTGCATGGTTCTGGTGATGTGAGGAGAAAGGACACAGGGGAAAGAGCTGAGAATGGGGTTATCCCTGGGCTGGAGACAAAAGGAGGGATAGGAAAGCTCAGGAAGCAGAAAGGTGCAAAGTGTGCTCAAGAATAGAAAAACCAGAGTGACCAAGTGATGGTGATGCTATGAAATGATGGTGTGGTCAGATTTATGGATCTGAGCTGAGAAGTGTCTATGTCATGAAGAAAATGGTTGCTGTTTTGTAGCAGTGATAATTTTTAAGTACGTGAACTTCATATTTTTCCTGCATGTGATTTTACACAACCCACTTGAAATGCTGTATTCCTTTATTTTTCTTAAACCCCCAGATGATGTTCTCCACTGTTTTTACTCCTTTCCTCCAATTAGGTACATAATGGAAAAGTGCTGTGGAAACAGAGCTTTTTCACTGAACGTAGTGATAATGACTAGTTTGTGTCATGACAACACTGGTGAAGCACTCTTCTTATTTTCTCACAGGAGTTAGCATTCTGCATAACACTTTTGGCATTTCTTATCATACTACATCATCTCTGGAATCTGATTCAATACATTTGTACTTTCATGGGTAGGAAATATTTCATTTTACCATTAACTAACAGTTCAAATAGTGTATCTGATGATGTTCTTACGTGGCTTTAAAAGATTTTTCCCTTTCTTACCATCCAAAAAACATCATGCTAGTTCACAATACAAACTGCTTAAAACATTTCTTCCTCGCTCCTTTAAAATGCCACCCTTCAGCTTACTCCTGCATGGTTAAACACTGCATCTCTCTGATTCAAAATAAGAAAAGAGACATTTACACCCTCAGATATATGGGCTTATATTTCAGTTGCTGTTCAGATGATCGGCAGGATGGAGAAACTGTTGGTTGACAGATGTGAAGAACACCAACCTTGTTCGGTCCAATAGGGGAGGAAGAGCTAGAGATTAATGGTTGTCATCAGAGAGGTAAAGGTCAGGAAAAACAAATCCACTGAATAATCCTGCTGCCAGGATTCCCACTGCAAGCAAATCACTGATGCTACGTCAGGGGTTGGCTCAAGCCCTGGTCTCCAGACATCCCCATGGAGAGAGTGGAGAGTGTCCCCTCACACCCCATCTCACACAGCACACCCCACATCCTCTTCAGGTCCCTTTTTCAGCAAAGGCTTTCAAAGCTCTCTCTGTATGGAGTACCAATCACAGCCCTGAAATAGAGGCCCATGTATTTGCAAGGATCCCAACCCATTTAGACAAAGGCTTTCTTTTTCCTTAGGTTACATTACACAAAGAGCTGAAATAACTGCAAGATCAAGGACTAAGAATTTCACTACCAAGTGAAGTTGTCCCAAAGGCAAATTTAAATTATGTTTAAATGTAATTTAAACCTTAATTATTCCATAACATTGCTTTTGGAGTAGCCCCTTTTTCTGGTAGATGCTGTCCGTCCAAATTCACACCCCTCTTAGGTAAGGCATATGAATGCATTCAATTTCCAAAGTGATATGAATGATGTGCAGAGAATTCTGTGTTACCTTTGGGGCATTTAATCTTATTTACTGAAGGCCAAAGACCTCTGACAGAAACAAGAGTAGTTACCTGTGAACATTTGCTCTAATGTCAGACAGATTCAATTATTATCTATTCTTCAACACAAAAATGCTTGGTGTTCCCTGCTCACTTTCTGCACTGTGTTCTAAGCACTGAACATTATATGGTTTATCTATGAAAATTGGTTACTATTCGGCCTTTATGTGCAGAATTTCCAGCACTATGACTGAAAAATATATCTCTCTGTAAAAAAAAAAAAAAAAAGGGAGAGTGGAGAAGCTGTCACCTACACTTCAGTTGCATAAGTTACGCAAAAAGATGCACTGTCTGGCAGTAATTTGAATTTGAAAAGCATCAGACACTGTCAATCTCAATTAAATTTATGGATCATAGTTTAATTTTCATTTATTTGTGTTTGGTTTTGAAAATTTGTTGTAATATTACAATAGAACATAGAGCTTGTTTGTACTCCTGGGAAATCAGGCATGCGAATAGCATTATGCTCTTTCTTCCTCCTCTTTCTTTTTTTAATTCAAAATACCTCTTGAAATTAAAAATAGATAAATGCGGAAAGCTCTCATTTCTACCATTGAGACCTCTTCCTGTGTGGTCTCCAGTGGCATCTTTATGATTTATTTAACAATGAAATAGAAAGGAGGTGAAGGGAAAAGGCATTTTGGTCTCAGATTCTATTTGCATAAAAATTATTTTCTTGTCCATGTATAGTGAGGTGGCTGTTTAGACAGCTTATGTGTCTTTATCTTTCATGTGAGAGATCAGGTCACAGCCCTTGTTCCTTTGTGTAATAAGCCCCTGAAAGTCAAACAACAAAATTATTTTGAATAGCTGTAATAATAATTTATAGTTATAATATAAATCCGCATGATTGTCATCATAAGACCAGCATATAATTTATTTTCAATCTATTTTAGTAGAATACATGGGAGGGATTTCCTTTTTTTTCAGCAGCAAAGAGAGATCAGCCCCCCTATTAAATTCCCAACATTCACTTTATTTATCGGCTGTTTCTCTAAGAAGTTGTATTGATGCATCTATAAATTTCCCCCAGGGTACAGGAGGCTATATCAGCAGGGATAAGGCAACAGGAGTTGCGACTCACAGGTGTACAGATTGTTTGGTCTAAGAAGGGACAGAAGGAGATGATTCAGCATAAATAAAATAGATAGCTCTGCACTAGAAAGCCACATCCTGCTTCAGGGAGTACCTAAGTCAGAAGTGTAGTCACCACGGGCTGCTCCTGCTCTGACAGAGAGTGAGAGGCATCTCCAGTAAGGAAGAGTTCACCAACTGCTGCTGGCTCACACTTGGCACCTCTTCAATCTGCCTGCTGAGTGTGAGGTGACATTGTTCCTAATCAGGTGCCTCTGCTCAGTGTCTGAAGTTGGGGGGGGTCTGAGCCCCTGCAAGTGACAACCAGGAGCAAATGATTAAAACACAGGGAGCAAGAATAGCATCAATAAACTGCCTTGCCACTACGGGGTGTAATGTATTAGTGGAGGGTGATAAAGACGTTATGAAGCAGCCCTTTCCAGCACGCGAGAAACAGGTCTTGGAGTCCTGCAGTTTTTCCTAATCATAATTTGTAGGCAACATCTCTCATGTAATAAT